GGCTGTGGCTTGTATTTACCTGTTGCCACAGCCAATCTAGTATCGGATCTCTGGCCGCGATCAGGTGTTCCGGAGTTTTCCATTTCAGGATTCATCAACTCAGAGCTCAGTGTCAGTTAATTAAACCAGGTTTCCTGAACGCACACCTGACAAAATCCACAGAGAGTAGCCTAATAAAAAGATACGTAAGCAAATGACAAGAACCCAATGGAGCGGTGAGTGACAACCGAGGTGTGTGTGTGTTTTCATTACTTCTGGTAATGCAACGTGTCACTGCCGTGCCAGGTAACGAGGAAGCCGCCACACACAGAGGAGGCACTATGAGAGAGCGCCTTCTACCCGCACTGCTGTTCTAACCTGACAAACGAAACTCCATGCAGAAAACCGCGACATTTACAGTAACCATCCGTTTTAACAAATATACCCATTTATTATACTTTACATTTTAATGTTAACATTATCAATAACATACCACCTTTATATCGGCGTATATCATGTACACGAAGTGAAACGTATTTAAATAGAAATTTAACATTGTGCAATAATATTCTTGTTATTCCTACAGTTTGACGCGACGCGAAATAGTTAACCCAAGTTTAAAAGTTGGCAGTTCATTAAAATTAAAATGCTGGCTGGTGAAAAACTCCGATGCTGATTTCTCCAGTGACTCCTGACGGTTAATTACATGTAAAATTATTCTCTACGAGATCATGTGTGACCAATAAACCAACAATAGTCTGCCACCAACGTGCCACAAGCAGCCACCTGTTAGTTAATACAACACTGTTTGTAAGACAGTTGTATTTACAGACAGTATTATTTTCAAAGACTGTAGTGAACTTTACTGGAGGTTAAGAGCTGGAGGTAAAGTGACTCCGATTCACTCACCTCCTCTGACACCGACGCTGGGTTGCAGTTTGGCCGATAAGATGACCAGCACTATCCCGATGATGAACCACTCCTTCCGTATCCTCGACAAGAGGCCCATGTTTCAGCCCCGGGGTTCACCGGATCACCCCGCCGGCCCCCGTCTGTCACAGCCACCCGGAACAGAAGTCGTAACAACTCTTCAGCTTCTTCTCTGGAGGTGTTTCTGTCAGAAAACAGAAGCACAGCAAGCGGAGCCTCTTCCGGACACGTGGGACACAGAAAGACCGTAAAGACTGAAAGAGAATCGCATGTTGTTTTTTGTTGCTTTTTTAAATTACCGTGTTACAGGCTTCTTATACACCGTCTATGGTTACAGGTAAAAGTAACTTATCCAGTACAAGTATGACATAAATGAATAAAGTATTGCATTATATAGCACAGGTCATGTAAAGACATACCATGTTTTAAAAGTATGTTTTAAAAGAGAAATAATAAAATCATAAATATATAAAGTAATTTTAGCAATTTTCAAACTATTTAATGATAACTAAATACTGCTATATATATATATTTTTACAATTATCTTAATTCTGTAAACAAACTTTAACTAGTAAATAAAGTTTTGTAAAATACAATTTTTTTTTTTAAATGTCAAATATTAATGAAATATGAAAAAGTTAGCAAACCATAATCATAATAAAAAACTATATAACAATAAATAAAAATGTAAATTGAAAAAAAGTTTATATCAAGTAGATAGCCACAGTGATAGTTGAGATAGAAATTAAATAGGGTTGGTAATAAATAAAAATACTAAACAAAGGAGGAGTTAATAATTAAATAAAATATTAGGTACAAGACTGATTATTACCAATAACTTATGATAATGAGTTAAACCAAAATACAATTGGGTCTGTTTATAAAAATAATAACAAGTTGAACAAGTGTTGAACAAGTTGAATTAGTTATATATATAAATAACAATAATAATAATAGTGTAAATCAAAAGAATTTTAACAATTATTGGCGTATTATTTTTTAATTACAAACAGCAGTTTTAAATACAACCAATAACAACATCAGAGATATTTTATTCAAAAACATTTTTATTCTGTAAAACAGTAAATAATCACTGCCTATAAACAATATAAAACTGTTCACAAATTAAAAATTTAAATGTGAAAAAAATATGACAGATGCTTTTCTGAAAAAATATTGTATAACAAATTTAGATAGCATTCAAATAACTATTCAGAATTTCTCTACAAACTATCAAACTGGCCTCTGTTTCAAGCTTAGCATCTACAAAGACTTCTAGAGTAACAAACTATTCAAGTTCAGCATCACGGCCTTTTCTGGCTGAGATGGAGGGTTTTGTATTTGGTGACATTTTGCCCTTCATCCTCCTCCTCTTCGTTATTTCCTCTGCTCAGAAACCTCTGATGTACAGAAAGGACTAACCGCCTCCTCTGCTGTCCACATGATTAGAAACATGCAGAGTTCTAATGAGATGATTATGTTTGTTTACTGTCTGTTTATTTGCTAATTGCCACAAACAGGACAGAGCACGCTCAAACCAGACAGCTGATTAGGGAATCTGCAATTTCCACCATTACATCATGTTTGTTTTTTGCAGCTGTGGTAACTATTATGCTGCCTTCATGCGCCTAGGAGAAAGTCTGACATGTCACACTTCCAAGTTGTCAAGTAGCCGCTGGCAAAATGTTCACAGGCTGTCTTGGGGGCCAAAAGGTTTTCACCGCTGACCATGTAATCACCATGTCCCTGGTTCGAGTGTCGCTGGAGACCTTTGCTGCATTGCCCCACCCCCCAATATTTCCTGTCACCCTTTAACTTAATGGTAACAAACAGAGCTAAATGCTAACATCAACAAAGTTCACTGCTAACATTTTCTAATTAGCACAGGTACAGCTGATACTGATGGTGACTGATAAGTATTTTGGTCATAAACCATAGTCTTGGACAAATTAAACATTTGTCCTGATGATGGCACTAGATGAAAGTCAGAGAATCAGCAAAGTTTTTGCAATTCATCCTCTGGGGGAATCCATCCAATAGTTGTTGAGACATTTCACTCAACACCAACTCATGGTGACGCAGGAAAAGCCAGCAGTTGAAAAGTGTTTAAACAGATTATTAAACAGAGTTGGATTTGTTTGTTCTGTCTGCAGCGTGTAAATGTTGAAACAGAAATGTCAGGAAGTTATGTACTACTTTTTCTGTTTATTTATTGTAAAATGCCAGTCGATGCTAACAATGCATGAAAGGCTGAAGGTGTGTTTCCCTACATTCCTACACCAAGCTTTCCTTTTTATAGAGCATCTGTATCCACCATTATCATTAACTGGTGATGAGTTAGTACCAGACAGCAGCAGTATTATCTGTTGAGTCTGTGCTGATTTCCTGACGTCCTCTGGTCTCTTTCCAGGCCAAGAGGCGGCGCACGGCGGTAGGCGTGGCCGACACCACGTCAGCGCTGTATTTCCTGATGAGGGAGTGAGCGCGAGCACTGGCCACCAACACCTGACAGAGCCACAGACAGACAAAGCAGCATGTGAAGGTTGTTGGGTGGGAGATGTTGGATAAACTCTGACATGGAAGATGAGTGTAGTTTCTTTCTGTCACTGTTCATTATACTAATGTCACGTTCTGAAATTGAAGGAATATGCTGTTTTACTGATAACAATTTAATCAAGTGTCCCAGCAAGTCATCCAGTCAGACGTCCTTCATTTAATTATTTACACCTGTTCTTACTGTGAAAAGTGCAGGAATGAAGGTGTTAAAACGTCTTCAGTGAAAAAGGGTGAGGTTGGCCTTCTTTTATTCCTCTTCAACTGTTGTTCAGTGCATTGTATCCAGGTTTAATGAGCTCTGTACTTCTCTCCACTCTTGAATTATTTAAAATATGTTACACAAAGCCCCACAACAATTGCAGAAACATTATTTACCTGTGCTTTCTGCAGCAGAGCCACATCCTCCAGGTCGCAGGCAACTTCATAACCCTGCAGGAAGTACTCACAAGCTCTCTCATACTGACCCTACAAACACAGAGAGAGAGAGAGAGCTTGGTAAAAAAAATAAAACCAAAAACCCAAGAACAATTTTGTATTTGGGATGTTACATTTGTAATAATTTCTACAGGATGTCTTGTGAAGTTTGTCACTCAATAATTCTAATCAAATCTGCATAGGTGATTTGATAATCAGTAATTGTCAAAAAAGGAGGGAATCATCATGCTAATTGGGATATGTGTGTGCGTGTGTCACCATCGTATAGTAGATATTTCCCAGATACAGGTAGGCGTCCACCAGGTTGTTCTGCAGTCCGTTGTTACGGGAAATGTCAGCTAACTTGTTCAGACACTGGACTGTCTCATCTATGTTTCCCTCACTGACACACACACACACACACACGCACGCGCGCGCACACACACACACACACACACAGACACACACACAATATAAACATGTGTTTAGCAAACAGGCTTTGACAGATTCATGGATGTTGAAACTTATGCAGACCCAGATCTTAATAACCTTACACACAAAGGACACAGATGTGATGTATGAAGTTGAAGATATAATGTGTGTGTGTGTGTGTGTGTGTGTGTGTGTGTGTGTCTACCTCTCTAAAGACTTGGCCATATCCATGTAGGACCTTCCCAGTTTGTCTTCATCCTGCAGTGTGCCGTATATCTGAATGCAAGTGTTGAAAAACTGGAAACACAAACGTGCACAGACACATGCACAATTGTATCACCGAGTGAGACACAGTATTATAGCTCTTAAAGGGTCCAGTGGTGATATTCTATATTTTTTTGTCAACAAATCCCATGAAAGACCAAAATCGACAATAAATGCATGAGTTTATTTGGACTCAATCCCGCATAAATCATCCTTCTGCTCCAAATACTCACCAGAGCACCAACTTTGGATTAATACTCCCCAACAAATGCACTATTTCCTCATGTTTGATTGATAAAAATGAACGTGAGCAACTGTATTAAGAAACTAGTGAACCTTTTTTAAATGAAACTAGATATTAGCTGTTTTGAAAGATCTACATTTCTAGTAGGGATCAATGAGCTTCAAGCTGAGTACCACAGACAGGAAGTCAAAACGTTTTGAGAGACGAACCAATGCATTGTTGACTTTGGTCTTTTTAAGGGATTTCATGGCATTTATACAAAAGCTTTACACACACACACACACACACACACACCTGTTTGGCTGTGTCATGGTGTCCTGCATTCTGATAGGTCAGTCCCAGTCGATAGGAGGCCTCCCCTTCGATCTGTTTGTCTTCAGCTGAAACAGACATCAGTGACTTCACAGCTCTCCTGCTCTATTGCCACCATACATTACATGTACTCTAACAATGGGTTGGTCAAAGCAACATCTCGTACCTGTATTCACATGCCATATTATATATCGTCCAGCAGAATCCATGGATCTTAGATTTTGTTGATTTTATATTTTTAGGAATGGCAGTGTTCAACGGTCGGCCCATCACTTTGGTCCAGACTAAAAATTCTCGCAACTATTTGGTGGATTTCCATAAAATTAGGTTGAGTGATAATCCCTTTAACATTTCATATAGTTAAATGTTAATTTGTACTTTGTTTTATATCAGTTAATAAACCTTTGTGTTTAGTGCTAATTAGCAAACGTTAGCATGCTAACACACTCAACTACTGTTGAACATAGTAAACATTACATCTGCTTATATCAGCATGTTAGCATTGACATTGTGATCCTGTTAGCATGCTTTATTGTCATTTCCCCTTGGTATACGCAGATTGAAATGAAAGGTTGTTTCTCATCAGCTCCCTTGCAGTGCATCTAGCATGGCCATGGACTCTTAGTCCTGTTATGATAAACTGAAGGATAACATGCCCCTTTCTGGGTTGAGAAAATTCTTGTACTTCTTAAGATGAATAAACTATTTAAAAACTTACTGATTAAAGATTTTATGGATCTCTGTCTGTCTCTCTTTCACACACAGCGCCTCCTACTTTCCAAATCTTGTATGCATTCAGTGTATTTTCAGACACACAGATACAGACAGTGTCTACCTACACTCAGCAGCCGTGCTGTAGCCCTTGTGGAGCAGCTTCAGGGCCTCGTTGTAGTCTTTGGCATCCAGCGAAGCGTCGGCCAGCCGGCTGTAAATCCTCCACAGTGCTTGGCGGGCCAGGAGCCTCAGGGGCCGACCGGCTGAGTCTATCCAGCCGCCGTCTTCTGCCTGCTTGATGCACTGCTCTGCCTGTTGCCTCGCCTGCTCCAGCTCACCTGCAGGACCGAGGGGCCACAGAGGGGACATGAAACAGTCCGATTTAGATTCACTGAATTTTATTTCACCGTTCATATTAATGTGAGTTTGTATTTATGCTACTGTTATATATTTCTGTGTTCATCCCTCCAGAAGAGATCCAGAGACTTCTACGAAATCTACGAAAGGATCACTGAAGCTGTTGTGGTGAAAAAACACCTCATCAACAAACTCTATGTTGGTGATTACTTACTTTATTTGTCACCTATGTTTATATTTGTGTGTGTGTGTGTGTGTGTGTGTTAGTGTGAACACTGTCCACCTTGTTGCAGGTAGAGCTCAGCCATGCATGCCCGGGCCTCTGTTGCTGGTCTCGAACAGCCTCCTTGCTTTCTGTCTACACAGCTGTGGTAGAAATGAAAACTGAGCCAGAGGTCCTCCGGAGCCGAGAAGTACTGACCCAAAACCAGACGCTGTTCACACACCACCGACCAGGAACCTGCACGCACGCACACACACACACACACACACACACACACACACACACACACACACACACACATAAAACACTGTACAGGAGAATCCTGTAGCCCCAATGCTGCATCATTCTATCTTGAACAACAAAACTCCATTTAGAAAATCCTGACATTTACAGTTAACATCACTGATGTACATATCCACCAATCTGACCACTAATTTAAACCTTATCAGGAGCGATGGGATTTTGTTCAGCACACATTATTTACACCAGGCAGCATGTATTTAAGTGAAAAGTGACATATTTCAGTCAGTTCGCACACATAGTGTGTGAGTGTTTATGTCTTATTTTCTGCATACAAATTTTGTGTGCGTGTACCGATCCTTTCAGCCTGCTCGGCCTGGCACAGGTGCAGTCTCATTGTCTCCAGTTTATCCCATTGTTCGTCCAGCGGAGTCTGAAGCCTGACAGCTGAACCTGGTTCAGCCGCAATCCTCCGATCCTGATCAGAGCTCAGCAGTCCGAACAGCTCAGAGAACGACCTCAGAGAGAGACAGGAGAGAGATCTTTATAGCAATGTTTCGGAAAGAAGAATGAAGAGAGCAAATTGTAGTGGCAGCTGTGGCTATCAGGAGATAGAGCAGGTTGCCCGCTAATTTGAAGATCGTTCAATCCCCCGGCTTGGGCAAAATACTGAACCCCAAATTGCTCCTGATGGCGGTGTGTGAATGTCAGTTCTGATGAGCAGTTGGCACCATAGCCTCTGCCATCAATGTATGAATGTGTGTAAACGGGTGAATACATAAATAAATAAACAAATAGAAATTAATGTGCCAACAGGTTCATCAAGTATTATTTGTAACTCCTCAAAAGTAATCCGACACTACTTGATGATCACTGAAACAATGACAGCAGAGGGAGATACCTGTGATAGCCTTCTTGAAGCATCTCCACACAGATGTTCTGCTTTCGACTGCTTCTGAACCTGGACAGATGTGAGAACAGGAGACATTAAAGGAGCATGGGGGGAAGATCAAGACGTTACACAGGAATGTTGGATGAACAGCAGAGCTCCGGTGTGGAATAAACACAGGACACTATGTGAAACTTGATCTCTGTGCTCAGTAAGTTATTACTTTTTAGCAGCAGAGAGCGGACTAACCTTTCTTTTTAGTGAGCTTACTGCGGCAGTCAGGGTGTAAATGTTTCCTGCTCAGTAAGTAGTTACCCTGTGTCCAGTTTCAAACTGAATCAGGGCTGAACTATTGATCGAAGTAAATAAAAGTAGAATATCAAAATCGCAGAAGCTGTAACTTGTCACAACATACCAGTAGCCTATAAATAAAGCATTTGTGGTGCGACGTCCTGGCGTATAAATCATGTTCTCCGGACGTAAGGGAACACGCTTGTTTGGTGTAGACCCCAGAAAAAAAATCACATCATCATCATTTTTATATTTTTCAAGTGAAAATTAAATGCAAAAATGACCATTCCCACTAAAATTGTGTTGGAAAACCGAATCAAAATAAAGTACTTGAACCCTTAAACACCCAGGCATGCTGCCTAAATGAAAACCAATTTACTATTTTGATCATTTAGACCAACATAAAAGTGTTTTAAATGTATTATATTGTTTGAAGAAAGGGAGCACCTAAATTACTCTTACAAGGCAGTTTTGAAAAGATGAGAGTACTATCTATTGATACAAATACTCTACATATTCATGGACATTTTCATAGTAGAGTAAAGCTTTAAAGTAGACCAGAACAGTAATTTGGCTGATTAGCAGCAGTAAATGAATAATTAATACAGCAAAGTACAGCACAGGCCTAAATAAAAATAACAACAAAAAGGTACACACGTAGAGTACACGGGGTCACTAATTTTATCATTCTCACTTGTCGTCAAAACCAACAAGAGTAAAAAGCCAGTGGACCACCCTGTCACATCCACAGGTCGTTACTGGCAAATTACATTTAGTTTGACTGCCAGTAGTTAAAGGAATTAAAGACCTCATACATCTGTTACTGTCACCTCAGTGGAGGTAAATCCTCCTGATTCATAGAACTGACAATCACTTAGTGCTAGCATCCTGCCTGTGGAACAGCGGGTGTCTAGATGTTTGAGTGTGTTGTGGACACACAATGCAATATGGAGACAAACTGTAGGAGAATAATACACAAGAAAACCAAAAGAATCAATAAATTCTTGTTGAAAAATAAATCTGATGTGCCACCAAAATCCAACTGGTGAACTCACAGTGCAATCTCTGTCTTGGAGAGGATCTGAGAGTCTGATAGTGATCCGGTTTGGAGAGACCCCTTCTTCTGCTTCATCCTGCTGACCACAGACACACACCCACACGTTTAGTTTTTTTTGTACTCACTCATCAGTAGAATAATCTTCCTCATCACCAAAACAAATAAATAAACACGTTATTTGTTTTGAAACACTCATATTCTGAGTACTGCAGTTGTACTCTACCTGTACTGAGTACTTCGCCTCTGTTTGTTGCTGTGGGCAGTAATTTCTGGTAGAAAAGGCCCCATGTGCCGCTGTGTTACCACCCCGTTCATCTTCACCTGTCAGTCAAAATGAAGAAGAGAGATGTCAGCAGGACAGACACAACGACTCTAATCTAATAATCTTGTCTTCATGATCTCATACAGTAATTCATTTTAAACCTCCTCATATCACTTTACAACACTGTTACAGATGGTATTTTTGTAATATGAATATGTCTTTCATTGCTGTGTCCTACTGTTTGCTGCTCAAACCCACCTTCTGCTCCAGTAGAATGATCAAAGTGTCCTGGTAGATAAGATAAAATAAAAGTAAATGTAACAGCAAACGATGGGCTACAAACAACTCTATTAATTTCAAAGAATAACTACTGTTCTGTTACAGTCTGTGGTTGCTGGCTGCTAAATTATAACTGTTAAATTATATCTATCATCTGAGCAAACTACATCCATTAATAAAGACTGTGATTTTATTTTTACAGTTTGTTATCTTAATAATTTCTTTGGCTGGAGAATTTGATACTGCATGTCAAACAGCAAGACATAGGCTATTATCTGTTGTGGTGGCAGCCCGGCTGACGGTGAGTGTCCTGGTTTTTCCTCCTTTTTATCAGTTTTCTCTTTTTCCTTGGTTTCCTGTTCTCTGCCCGCCTCTCTGTGTTTTCTCCCCCGTGTGCTCTCTCTCCCTCTGCTCCTGAGCCCAGCCAACTACCTGCACCTGCAACCCATCATCCACCTCGTCAGCCTGCCACACCTGCCAGTAATCAACCTCATCCCAGCCTGTATTTCAACCCCGGTTCTCCACACCATCCTTGCTTGATCGTCGTTGCTCCATACCCGGTGCCATCCCCACGTTCAGGCTTTCATGTTTCTTGTTTTTTCACGTTTACCCTGTACCTTGTTGCTGTCTTCCCTAACCTTGTCCCTTTGTCTGTTTTCCTCCCAGGTACACTCACCCTCGTCCTCCGTTCGGCTGGGCTCACCCACTGGCCCACTCCTCTTTGGACTTCCCTCACGGCGTCCTCCCTGTTCCCCCGCCCCTCCACGCCTCCTCGGCCCCTGTGTTCCCCTGCTCTCTGGCCTCCTGTCTCCTTGGTTCCCCGTGCCTGTACTTCCCCGACGTCCTCCTCTCCCTCCAGTCCCTCTCACCCTTTTTCCTCCAATAAACCTCCTTCCTTCTGAGTGCTGCATTTGGGTCCTCTCTGTCCACACACCACACCCCGTAACAATTATCAATGTAAGATATATTTTGTTTTTAGTTTTTTCTTCTTTTTTCAAATATCACTTTATTCTTTATTATTTATATTTTATTGTTTATATGTGACTATGCTTTGGCAGCATGTTTAAACTAAACCCATGCCAATAAACCCTAATTTAATTAAATTGACTGTGTGATTATGGCGGAAAGCTAAGGAAAATACCAGTAAGTGGACCTTGAGTGGGAAGTGTTTTGTCAAACCACTGTTAAAATACTTTTTGCTAGCCTAACTTTTGAGATAGCCTGGGTTAGAGGGCCTAGCCTGCTGTGGATTGTCATGACAACTAATCAACATTGAGTTGGGACTGTTTTGTTAGGCTTAGATTAATACATTATTTTTCAAATTAGGGATAACATCCTCTACTAAACATCTTATATTCCTGGCCCAATACTGGATCCACGGGGCTTAACAGAGGCCCATAAATATAAAGTTGGGCTAAAGCTCATGCAGTCTATGTTTCATTAAGTTAACTAACATCATAACTGTAAAACCTCACTGTCTACACTTAATTTAACAAACCTTATATTTTAAAGTAAACCTGTAGTAACAAACCTGTGTTTATAAAACAGTAAAAAGGTAAAAAACTCACCGCAGATAACACAAACTTTGTTTTCAAACTTTTCACCGCTGACCTGCAGTTCAGCTTTCGCCGTCACCGTGGCGACGCACGGCGGGCCGCATTCCAACACTAACATCCTGCTCACTTTCCCCCGCTGTCTGGTTCCATTCAGAAATAACTGAAGATTATTTTACCACCTCAACAGAGACAAAAAGAGTAACGAATAACAACATCTTGAAATCCTCATTAATGTTGTACTTTTTTATTGTGCAGAGCGTTTTCTTAAAAGTTCTAATACCACACAGTGAAAATACTCCATTAAAAGTTCTGCACTGAAAATTGAACTATTGAACTATTTTGTATCAGACTTTCATTATGGATTAATCTTCATAATTTTCTCCATTGTAAAAATTCTTATAATAGTGAGAAATGCACACCAGAGCCGAAGGTGACAAAATATTCTGATGAAAATGAAACTCCTAATTTGTAACCAGTTACAAAGTCTGGCAGATAAATATCAATTTTGATATGATATTTACGACCGACTACTACCACTTCTTTACTCAGTATCTGTCTCTCTTGTTAAATGTGTTACATTAAAGTGTACCTATATTTCATGCTGTTATTTTATATTGTGTATATACTTATGTATGTACATATATATTTATGTACTTTGATATTGTTATTTGTTTATACATGTGAATGAACAGGTAGGCTACCTGATTGCAATTGTGTTGAATTTCCTAGATTGTTGATCCTCATGTCTGTGAGCGCCTCTCCCAAAGAGTCAGCAGTGTCAAATAGTTTTAAAACAGATGCATTTTGCACACTGGCTAAATATTTACTTTGTGGATTACACACGTTTTTCTCCTTGCTTTACATATTACACTATTTCTCTATTTACACTATTCTTCTTCCTGTAAAGCCCTCCGTAACATCTGTTCTGAACAAACAGTTCATTCAGCCTAAATTCACACAGGGTGGTCCAATGAGCATCATTTGTTTTTTTGGCATGGGCACAGTGTGCAAGAAGAAGTAAAGAGACTTTAACAAAACATATGGTAAAACAATAACAAAGAGCATCATATTGGAATTTAACAATATGGTAAAAGACAAGCTGAATATTAAAACACCTTTGTATCTGCATGACAAAGATTTCCTGTATTTATTTTAAAACGGCTTGCGTGAACCCAATTTTAAAGAAACCTGGTTTAGATCCCTCCCTCCATCAAAATTTTAGACCAATTTCAAAACTGCCTTTTATTGCAAAGATTCTAGAAAGAATTGTGTCCAAATAGCTGCTCACTGTACTGGAAAATAACAAAATATTTGAAAAGTTTCACTCTGGTTTTAGGAAGTACCACAGCACTGAGAATGCCCTGCTTAAAGTCACCAATGACCTTTTAATGTCTGCTGATGAAGGTATGTGTTCAGTCCTGGTACTCCTGGACCTTAGCGCTGCTTTTGACACCATTGATCACAACATCATGTTAGACAGACTGAGGCACTGGGTGGGGATCGCTGGTACTGCCCTAGAATGGTTTTCATCCTACCTGTCAAATAGGAAGTTTTGCGTGTCTGTAAACAACTATGTCTCTTCGTTCTGTCCAGTTAAATATGGTGTGCCTCAGGGGTCGGTCTTAGGACCCATTTTGTTTTCCTTGTATCTGCTTCCCCTTGGACATATTATCCATAAACATGGCATTTCTTTTCATATTTATGCTGATGACACACAATATACTTGCCCGTCAGATCCTCAGACCCTGAATTGCTGAGTTCACTTAACAACTGCCTTTGTGAAGTTAAAAAATGGATGTCAAATAATTTCCTCCAGCTGAACTCAGACAAAACAGAAATCCTGGTCATTGGGTCCCAGCAGATGGCAAATCAAATACTGCCATCTGCTGGTTCCCTAGTAAATCACATTAAGCCTGTGGCAAAGAACCTTGGTGTTTGGTTTGATAGTAATTTAAATTTCGAGCAGCACACCACAAAGCTTGTTCAATCATGTTTTTATCAACTTAGAAATATAGCAAAAATTCGATCTATGTTAACTTTTAAGGACACCGAGACCATTTTACACGCCTTCATGTCATCGCGCCTGGATTATTGCAACAGCCTTTTCACCTGTTTAACCCAAAAATCTATTGATCGACTCCAGACTGTCCAGAACTCAGCTGCCAGGCTTTTAACCAGAGCAAAGAAAAATGACCACATCACCCTAATTTAGCTTCACTAAACTGCTCCCAGTATGTTTCAGAATTGACTTTAAAATTTTATTGATCACTTTTAAAGCTCTTCATGGCCTCTCGCCTTGTTATATTTCTGACCTTTTAGTCCCATACGCACCAGCACGTACCTTGAGATCCTCGGGCAGAGGTCTGTTGTCTGTTCCAGAGTCTCGACTGAAAACTAAAGGCGACAGAGCGTTTGCTGTCAGGGCCCCGAGGCTCTGGAACAGCCTGACCGAGGAAATCAGGTCGGCTGAGTCAGTGAACTCTTTTAAGTCCCTTCTTAAAACATACTTTTATAGGAGAGCCTTTCCCATCTTATTTGACTTTATTTATCCCTTTTATTTATTCCACTTTACTTATTTTATATTTATCTTAAATGTGTATTTTAGTCTTTTCAGTGTTTTCTTGCTTTTATCTTGTATTGTTTCTGTATTATTGTTTTTGGGTATTATTGTCTTTACACTTGTTAAAGCACTTTGTAACTTGTTTTTGAAAAGTGCTCTACAAATAAAGGGTTATTATTATTATTTTGCACAACTTTTCTTAGGAGGTTGTTTGAGTAAAAATACATCTCACCACAGCTGGGATGGAAACTCGGTCACTGTGTGTGTGAACGCGTTTTATTTTTCTTCAAAGAAAGTTCCTAATAAAGTTTCATGTTCAGGGTGGAAACCAGCAGCATCTGGGACAGAGAGGCTGTTTCCTGTCGGCCTGTGAGTGTCTGGGTTTGATCTGCTGTCAAATGAGACTCTTTGGATTTGGCTTGTTTGTTCTTCTTGTTCTAATTAGCTTCATGTGCAATTTGTCCATTAACCAGAGGTCCTTTTGAAGAGAGATGTAAACATGTTTCTTTCACGATATTTCCACTACTGGAGACTAATAACATAACTGTAGTACACATGGTTGGTGGTCTGACAAGAGTTCAACGTGAAGAAGTGCCTTTTCTTTAAATTAAAAGCTAATTACACTACAGCTCCTTTTCACCTCTGCAGTAAACTCAGGAAATCGTAAAACAAAAAATTTAATCAAACTATAATAAACAACCCCATCTTTGTTACTGTTGCTTTGCTTTTCACTCTTGCACTGCCGATTAGGGGGCACATCTATCCCTCGAAATCTTTTAAAACTAGTACTTTTTACTACCAATAGCCGGTTGTCAGACACGTTTTAGTCATCGTTTCATTGCTACTTTTAATTATAAAAATTGTTTACAAAATACAAATTTAAACACAATTATTTCACCACATAATTTAACTCAGTATCTCATTTAACTTTTTCAAAAGTGTCTCTTGGTTTTGAATAAAAATACCTATCAAAGCGAAAGTTGCAGTAATGTGGCTTAAAAAGTAAATTTTATTTATAAAGCCCAATATCACAAATCCTAAATTTACAAACTGCACAGCATACGAGTCCCTCTGTCCTTTTGGATGAGGAAAAACTCCCCCCAAAAACATTTTACTGTAAAAAGGGAAAAATGGAAGACACTTCAAGAAGAGCAACACAGGAGGGATCATTCTCCCAGGACAGACAGACATGGAATAGATGCTGCATGCCCAGATGACAAAATTATAAATAGACTGTAAATTTGTGGAGGAAGAATATAGATCCGGGAGCCACTTAAGGGCAACAACAGGTGTCACCAAATGGACCTGAGCCAAACGACCTTGGAGACCTTCAACAATACAAAGTACACAAGGACACAAGAGGCAAAACTCAAGCACACTATTCAGACAGAAAGGAAAAAGGAAACAAACACAGGAAGAGTAAAAAATAAACAATAAAGTTCCAATAATGTACCAATAGTAAAGGAGAAGAAGAAGACAAGGTTTATAAGCCCGTTATCTGCTGCATGCATGGTTTAAGTCACGTACAGCCTTCATCTGTTTATCTCATGTGTTTACTGTAGGCTAATAAACAAACAACACACACACACACACACACACACACACACACTGGCAGCCCACTTATCTCCTCTCACACTCAGTGACGTCTTCTGAAATAGAAATTTTGCACTGACACTGAGGGAAGCTCAACGTCCTGGGGTCAAACTTTTGATAAATATAAACTGAATTGAGTCAGACTGAGAGGCGACTGCTGCTCTTTCTCCAGATAGATAGATAGATAGATAGATAGATAGATAGGAAAGATGTACATCTGTTTGGTTTTAACATGCGTGTATCACAGATGTGTAAACATAACATGCACTTCACGTGTTGCTGCCACAAAGTAACACAGGATGCGTGTCGCTGACTGATGTTTTAACATTAACATTTATTAACATTTAATATCCCAGCAGGTCAAGGACAGCGGTGAAAAAGATCCAGGATCATGAAACAAAACACAAAATAAAATTTAAAAAAAGATTTTTGCTTCCTTTTAAAAGTTGGAGTGTGAACCTTGTCCATCTGCAAGTTATATGGATCAAAAGCTGTGAAAGGATGTACATGGATACATAATGAGGTGTAGGATACACACTTCAGATACGGGTTGCACTTTATAAAGCTCCAGTCACACCATGCTTACTCAACCTAACTGTAATATAGGTCATCTCTGTCTCGTCTAGTGTGAGTTACTGGTGTCTTGTTTAGTAAGTATAATTATTGTGACTTTGTTTTTAGCACCTTGGACTGTGACAAATGGCATTCAGTTTATTTGTATACTCGGTATGTGGATAAATGACAATAAGCAAACTTGAACTTGAAAGGTGTCGCTCATAGTGACAAAGAGCTTGAAATTGTGTTTAAGCTCATTGTTTTGATTTTACAGCTGCACCTTTGCTGTTTTAGTTCTCTCTCACCATCTTTCAGCGTTGGTTTTATCAGCAACAGCAACAAATCCCACGGTACGCTAACTGACCAGCACCAAAATGGTAGCATTTAGTAACTAGATGGTGAAAATAGTGGAGCATTTTGCTGATAGTCAGATATTTCTTTTAGAAGTTGGTGGAGACCAAAAAGGAGTTAAAAGCAGGTGGACACAAACACAACTCCAAATGGATGTTGTTCTGTATCTGCTGGAAGTGTAAACAAGCAACTGTACAAGCAAACCTAACGTTTGCTGAACGGTGACAAGTAACAATCAAGGGATAAAGATCTACTGTAACACTCTGTGTCACTCTGTACAAACAGAGAGTAAATCAGTTTGAAGTTTGCTAACATTTGCCAGCATTAGCTATTGGTATGACCAGTGCAGAATTGGTGTAAGATACGGTAGACTTACGAGTTTCAGGTTTTGGTCAATGTGTCTTAATTTCATGTGTTACATCAAGTTAAAGTTCAAATGTATTTAAATAGCACTTTTAAAAACAACCCTCGTAGACCAAAGTGCTTTCCAAGCTCAGGATACACAACAACTATACAAAGGACTTTGTACTTTCTGCAGTCTGAGCAGTCCTTTTAATTTGAATAGGTAAAATATTCTAAAGATTTGGAGCAGCCGCTGAAAAGGTTTGGTCACCTTTATGATCGGACGACCTCAGTGCTTTGACAGGAGTGTGGACAAGTAAAAGTTCTGATAAATAAGGAGGCGCCAACCGATTTAAAATCTAAAAAATAAGCAACAAAATCTTAAAATCAGTCCTGTGATAAACAATATAAACAGTTTGATCAAATGTAGTAAGTATTAATCCCTGCAAATGTTTTCTGTAGCCTACAAAATAGTCAACAATTGACCACGTTTTGATGGATGTTCAAAAAGTGATCAAAACTTTGGAAACGTTTTATTTTGATAGCTGAGGTGACATTTAAAGAAATAGTCGAACTGATGAAAACGGACAGCAAGGAAATGATTTCTTTGTTCAAACATGTTTAAATCAAGAATAAAGTAAAGAAAATGGTTTCAGTAAACTCTGAAAGGATTTTTGTGGTTTAGTAGTAAACTGAGCCTGGAGTCTGGCATCTCTCAGGTTCAAACACTCAAATGAAGTTTAGTTGTTTATATGCACTAATAAACTTTTACTGCCTCAATTTCCACAACATTGTTTTACACATGTGAATAAATGGGTTAAAACAGTAAGTGTGTGTGTGTGTGTGTGTGTGTGTGTGTGTGTCAGATAGTAAAAGTTCAGAGTCACTTCACGTCAGAGTGTTTATGAGATGTTCCACTGTGACCGACTCAAAGAGAGGGAGGAGAGGAGGAGACAAGGGGCAAGAAAGGAGGAGAAAAGTGTGAATAGACAGCTAATGAAAGATAGAGGAGGTATTGGAGAGAGGAAGGCAAAAGAGTAGAAAGTGGAGGAGAGGAAACAGAGGAGGGGGTGGGAGAGAGTAGAGCAGTGAGGGGCGTGCGAGCATTACTATCAGAGAGAGAGAGTAAAAACTAAGCTCCATCAGATAGACTGCATTAGTTTCGTCTTGACTAAGTAGAGCACACGCAGGGGAAGAGTTTGGAAGGATTTAATTTGACAAAAGCCACAGAAGAAGACAGAAAAACACAAGCAGGTGAGTTTTATATATTTTCAACTTTGAATTTTAAGTGACGAGTTCAGATTTTCCAACAATTTTCTTTTGGATTTCCAGAATAATCTAACTCTGTAACTGTTCTGTAATGTTTGAAAAACAGCCACTGTGGAACATTAACAGAGACCAATGATTAAATGATAACAGGCATTAAAGAGATAGTTGAAGCCAGTAATGTTACAGCTCTGTGTCTGAAAGGGTTCACTTTAAGCCTGTATTTTAAATTAAGGGTTATGGTGAACATAGTGGAGCATTTAGCCATTAAAAAGCGAGATAATTTCTTCAGGAGTCAGGGGAAAAACCAGAGCAAAAACAAGGGTGAATATTGGACTTACATTCATCAGATGGACACAAAAATGACTCAAAAGTAAGCAACTGTTTGCTTAAAGTTCACCGTATCAAATTAAAATGTGATGATACGTCATTTCTGCTGTGGAGGTTTGAATGTTTTTTTGTGAACAGATTTGTATTGGTTTCATGTTGACAGGAAAAGCACATATAGACTATACATATTCAGATATACAGACACACACACCTCACTTACCTCAACCTCGATTCTAATTCACCCCCTCACTGCATGCCAATTGTCCATTGTCATGGAGAGTATATTAGTTGAGTTAATTATTATTAAATTATTCCATGGTATATTATGCATGTACAGAACATTACATATCAATAAATAGAGCATGTTTAGAGCAGGTTTAAATGTTTTTAACGTAGCATTTCATGAAAAACATCCTGAGACACAGTCAGTAAGACAGTAAGTTCAGACTTCGGAGATGTTGAGCGCCATGAACCTTTTCAGGTCTGGATATATTAAGGAACATCTTATCAAATATTTGTTATCATTCTGCAAAAGTTATGGTTTCTAATCAAGCCTGTTTTGTTTCCATCTCACTCTCCAGATTTTCTCAGAGCCCTGAATCACCAAACTCATCTGAGAACCCCGAACACTTTCCGAAAGCTTTCTGGAATCAGAGAAGGATCTAGAAATGGTTCTGGAGTACATTCAGTAATAAACTGGGTTCTTGAATCGCACTGGGTTCTAATCTCAACCTTACCTTATTCGAATCTAATCTGAAGCTACAGTAAGTTCTGGAAATACTGCAGGTTCCAACGTTTGCTGCAGATTTAAGGGGGTTAAGGGATCGGTTCAAGGGGCACAGCAGGCTCCAGGATGGTTTCTGAAGTCACAAAAGTGGATTCACCAAAGGGTTCTCGATTCAAAGTGGGTTCCAGAGTTCCTTCCATGCCCCGTTTGTGCACCGTGCCTCTGGTTGTCTGGTGTTTGGTGTCTGTCGATCCCGTTGCTTGCCACAAAAACTTCTCATTTGAGCCATCTGTGGCAGACCTGAGGACGTTGGACCTGCCGGATTTCCATGGCACCGACCTGCCTCTAGGACCCGGGATGGACCATCACGTCCAGGCCTCAAACAGACAGACACATCTGTTGCAAGAGACTGAACAAGCCCCCGTCCTCACATGAGCCAAGACTGGGAAAGTCAAAACACATTAGCAAGCTGAAACACAAACATGAAAGGAAACCTCCGTCTCACTCATCTTCCTCCAACGCCTCCCTGGTGGTTCGCGCGCGCCCGGTGTCTCCCCCTAACTGCCTGCAGGCCACATCAATAACAACAGCCTTCAAGTACATCAACACCGTTATGTCCTGTATCATATTTGCTGTGGGGATCATTGGAAACGCCACCCTGCTCAGGATTATCTACCAAAATAAAAGCATGAGGAATGGACCCAACGCTCTGATAGCCAGCCTGGCCCTCGGAGACCTGATATACATCGCTATTGACATACCAATCAACGTCTACAAGGTACAGAGCTTTAGCACGTTGAATCTCATGCATTTTTATGTATTTAAGTATTTGTGTATTTACAATATTGTCGGTTTGTTGTTTGACTGGTTTCTCACTTCAGATATACGCATAGGCTAGGAGTCAAAAATTTAATAACATTAATAAAGGGGGGAAGTGTTTAATTGCTTGGCTTAATACAAATGTTTTCTCATAGGAAATAACAAAATATGAAGACGGGTAGACTGGGACGTCTGTTGTGCGTCTCAGTCAGGAGGTTGAGTGCTGCACTGATAACGGCACTAAAATACCCCACTGACACTGATAACACATCATACACACAAACACTGCGATATAATGTTTATCTCTGTGTGTGCCTGTGTGTGTGTGTGTGTGTGTGTGTGTGTGTGTGTGCGCGCGCAGCTCCTCGCGATGCGGTGGCCGTTTGCAGACAGCGCGTTTGGTCTGTTCCTCTGTAAGCTGTTTCCCTTCCTGCAGAAAGCTTCAGTCGGCATCACCGTCCTCAACCTGTGTGCTCTGAGTGTCGACAGGTAACACACATTTGTTTATGCTATACCTCTCAGGACTTTGCAGCAGCTTTTCTAAACAAAATGGGATGAGATTGTGGGAATAAGTTACAAGCTACAAAGGTAGATGTGATTTTTTACTTTATTATAGTGTATAATAAATATAATATAGTAGCTGAATCATTAATCAGTTCCTCCAGGAGTTTGTGGGCCTAATGGTGCGTCCCATTTCCCATGAGCTGGGAATGACGTCACACCGGAGTTGACGGTGTTGCAGTTAACAAGTCAGAAAACTTCGCTAGTTGTTTACAGGTTAGCTATTGTTACACTGGTTGATGAAAAAAAGTCAACACAGTGGACGCTGTAGCGCTACTGCCGACTAGCGTTTGAGGCTGTAATTGCAGAATGACGGACAGACCTACGCACAAGTATAAATGCAGGTACGTGCGTACCTACGTAGGTACGCACGTAGCCATGCATTTAGACCCTACGCAGGAGTATAAATGGGCCTTAACCCTGCACATTCAAACCAGCTTGCTTTGATGCTGTCAGCACTTGCAGTTGAGCAGGATGCTACAACCTGTTGCAGGAAACTGTGATTGGTCTAAATTGCGGAAAACTTGTGATGATCGGTCAAAATGAAAAATTTCACAGGGATTTGTTGAATTTGTGTTACTAATCGCAAAATCCTGGAGGGATTAAAGAGAGCAGACCAGCCTCTGTAAGCAATAAGGAAATATCGTTCTCCTGGAGAGGCTGAATGGCAACAAGAAATGTATTTGCTTTCTTGCTGAGGCTAGATGAAAAAAAACAAATGAGATAGGCTATAATGTGTTAATTTGCGAGCTTCGGGGTGCAGGCAGGTAGATTTTCTTACGTGTGGAGGGAGCCAAGCTGGGTCGTTTCAGTTAGTTAGGAAATTAGGTTTACATGCAACAATAACGCCATGTGCCATGATTTAAACTTTGTTTAAATATGAAGAAAGAGTGAATCATTAAAAAACAAAACTTGTTCCCAGGTATCGTGCAGTGGCAACCTGGTCACGGGTGCAGGGCACTGGTGTTCCCACTGTAACGGCGGTGGAGATCGTCCTGATCTGGCTGCTGTCCATGACGCTGGCCGTGCCAGAGGCCGTTGGCTTCAACATGGTCACCTTTGACTACAAGAATGTTACCATGTCCACCTGCATGCTGCAGCCAAAGACGCCGTTCATGACTGTGAGTGTGTGTGTGTGTATCTGTATGTGGTCTTGTGTTATTGTTTGTCAATGTGTTGAGAGTTTCTCTAAACCCTCCCTATCCACTCTCAAAAACAGGTTTCATTCATAACTACAGCACAATTTTTTAGACTTTAACCACTGCAGAACCTGTTATGGTAATAACTGAGAGACCATCTGCAGCACTGGTGGACTCATGTTTTAAAAAGTGCCCCCTTGGATACCCCTATGGTAGATAAAACGTGATAAAGTGCTCTCTAGGGTGCACTTACATGTAGAAAGTGTGATGATGTGCACTAATGGGTGTCCTTAAAATGGAGATGCATTAGTTGGCCTCTACTTTCCTCTAAATGGTTAAACAGCTAATAGTTCCCTTGTGTGTTGTTATTACAGAGGTGTAGTAGTTAAACTTTAAATATAAGTCAAGTAAAGAGGCAAGTTTAATCTTAACCAGGGTTTAGTGCTGTTGCACCACAAAAGCATCACAAATTTCTGCACAATGGTGCCCCACCGCAGTTTAACAGATCCACGTAGAACTTGTTCAAAGGTTCAGTGTGTACTTTTTAGTGGCATTTAGTGGTGAGGGTTGTGAATTGTAACCAGTGGAACTCTGCACTGCTCACCCCCTCTCTTTACAAGTGCATAGGAGAAGCTACGGTGGCTGACACGCTCTGTCTGCTCTTATGCTAAATAATGTGTGGTCCTCTAGTTGTTCAAATTTCTCTTCCCTTATTACTTCTAATAAACCAGATAACTACAACAACTACTACTACTGCTTCTTCTTCATACAGGTGCTGGTCATATAATTAGAATATCATCAAAAAGTTGATTTATTTCAGTTATTCCATTCAAAAAGTGAAACTTGGATATTATATTCATTCATTACACTCAGACTGATGTATTTCAAATGTTTATTTCATCTACTTGTGATGATTAAAACCAACACAGTCTCACTCCCTACTTGTCAAATGTCTGACACATGGTCAAGGCCCTTTGTCGTCGCTTTTTAAAGACTTGGGTAGCCCTTTTGCATCAATTATTGACGTTTAGGGATCCACAGTCAAGTTAGCAACGCTTAGCAACAATAAATATGCAATATCCGGTTACACTTTCAAGATAAAACGTAACGTTTCGATACATTGCCATGTTGAAACGCGCATAATTAAAGTCGTGAAACGTTGCAGTTTCGTTAGGTTTAGGCACAGAAAGTACTTGGTTGGGTTTAGGCAACAAAACTACTTGGTTAAGGTTAGGAAAAGATCATGGTTTGGGTTAAAATAGCTATGTATGTAAATTAGACTTAAGTTAACTAACGTTAATGTCAATTTACCTCACTCGCCTAAATAAAAACATTGTTTTGTTTCGCACGGGACACAAACCCTGTTCTCCTGCTTCAAGGTCCGGGTTCTGGCCCTCTATCCACCTCAATCACCTCCTTACTTCGTCTTTTCTCTTAAATATCATACTTGCCTTTACCATCAAAAACTGACACAACAGGGCTTCCCTCAATACGTCGAACTATGACGTCAAAGGGATCCCTAGTGCGTCACAAACTGACGATTATGGCTCTTGACCAAGCGTCCATATGTGACGACTTGGGAGTGAGAACGGGTTGTTAAAACTGACAACTAATGAAAATCCCAAATTCAGTATCTCCGAAAATTAGAATATTACTTAAGACCAATACAAAAAAAGGATTTTTAGAAATGTTGGCCAACTGAAAAGTATGAACATGAAAAGTATGAGCATGTACAGCACTCAGTACTTAGTTGGGGCTCCTTTTGCCTGAATTACTGCAGCAATGCGGCGTGGCATGGAGTTGATCAGTCTGTGGCACTGCTCAGGTGTTATGAGAGCCCAGGTTGCTCTGATAGTGGCCTTCAGATCTTCTGCATTGTTGGGTTTTGGTGTATCGCATCTTCCTCTTCACAATACTCCATAGATTTTCTATAGGGTTAAGGTCAGGCGAGTTTGCTGGCCAACTAAGAACAGGGATACCGTGGTCCTTAAACCACGTACTGGTAGCTTTAGCACTGTGTGCAGGTGCCAAGTCCTGTTGTAAAATTAAATCTGCATCTCCATAAAGTTGGTCAGCAGCAGTGCTCTAAAAATTCCTGGTAGACGGCTGCTGACCTTGGACCTCAGATAACATAGTGGACCAACACCAGCAGATGACATGGCACCCCAAACCATCACTGACTGTGGAAACTTTACACTGCACTTCAAGCAACGTGGATTCTGTGCCTCTCCTCTCTTCCTCCAGACTCTAGGACCTTGATTTCCAAAGGAAATGCTAAATTTACTTTCATCAGAGAACATAACTTTGGACCACTCAGCAGTCCAGTCCTTTTTGTCTTTAGCCCAGGCGAGACGCTTCTGACGGTGTGTCTTGTTCAAGAGTGGCTTGACACAAGGAAGCCAACAGCTGAAACCCAGGTCTTGATTACGTCTGTGCGTGATGGTTCTTGAAGCACTGACTCCAGCTGCAGTCCACTCTTTGTGAATCTCCCCCACATTTTTTAATGGGTTTTGTTTCACAATCCTCTCCAGGGTGCGGTTATCCCTATTGCTTGTACACTTTTTTCTACCACATCTTTTCCTTCCCTTCGCCTCTCTATTAATGTGCTTGGACACAGAGCTCTGTGAACAGCCAGCCTCTTTAGCAATGACCTTTTGTGTCCTGCCCTCCTTGTGCAAGGTGTCAATGGTCGTCTTTTGGACAGCTGTCAAGTCAGCAGTCTTCCCCATGATTGTGTGTATGAACACTTGAAATATATCAGTCTGTGTGGAATAAATGTATAAATTATATAAAGACTATGGTCCAGTGGTTCTCATAGCTAAAGGTGGTTATAGAATGATTAATAGGTCCTACGATGGTTCGTTGTTCAAGGATCATCTAACGTTTCTGCTGTACCCTCGATGATCCAATCCATTTCAGAATCTTACAAAGGTTCTGGGAGCTTGTAAAACTGAATGATGGTTCCACAGTCGTGTTCTAGGTTCTAGAAATGTTTGGGTTGTGAAGGTTCTTGTGCTTTTAGAAAATTTCAAAACGTTCTCATACATGCATACATATGGGTTCTAAAGAAACGTAAGGCAAGGCAAGTTTATTTGTATAACACATTTCAACAAGGCAATTCAAAGCGCGTAACACAAAACAAAAAAGCAACATAGCGAAAATGTTAAAAAAAGACACTAAAATACAATTTTTACGAGTTAAATAGGAAATAAAAACAGGACAAAACAAGTTACATTGTAAGTTATTAATCTACAGCCTAAACCATTCAACACTTTATAAACCAACAGCATTATTGAAAATCAGTTCTTTGACAGCTACTGGCAGGAATCACAGTTCCCAAAACTTTATTATAAATATATTGTACTACATAAACATAGTTTATATTATATAAACATTTAGAGAGGTTGAGAGGCTTTTATTCTAGATCCTTAAAGGAGACATATGAGCATAAAGAAGTCTGTGGCGTACAAACGGTTTATAAAGATGGTTCTCAACTGTCCTGTAGGGCTTTCAAATGGTTATAGATTCTGACTTTTCTACAGAAATGCTCTAGAGAAGTTAAAAAAAGATATATCTAAACAGGTATTGAGTTTTCACGCCTCGAAAACAATATGAAAGTGTGTTTCTCCATGTTCCAGTTCTATAGGGATGCAAAGGACTGGTGGCTGTTTGGGTTCTACTTCTGTGTACCTCTGGCCTGCTCTGCTGTTTTCTATGGCCTGATGACCTGCGAGATGCTCAGACACCAGAAAGGAAGTCTGAGGTTCGCACTGAGTGAACACCTTAAACAGGTAAACACACACACTTTCTGTATACGATACAAGAACCAGCGTGTTTTATGATAATAACCAGGTGAGCTTTTATGGCCAATTTCTCTCTGCAGCGTAGAGAAGTAGCTAAAGCGGTCTTCTGCCTGGTGTTGATCTTTGCTCTGTGCTGGTTTCCACTTCATCTGAGTCGCCTGCTGAAGAGGACTGTCTACAAATCCCATGATGCACACCGCTGCGAGCTGTTAAAGTAGGTGTAGGAACACACCACATTCACAAACAAACACGTAGTGCTAAACACCTGTTGTTATAGTTTTAATACCATATGCTCTTAGTCTCTTGTAGTTGTTTGTGCTTTCTGTGGGTTGTAGTTTAAAGTAATTTAATTTCCTAAGTATAAATACTAGGAACTTTTAATTCACTTGAGTATTTACATTTTATGTAACTTTATACTTCTACTCCACTACATCTCAGAGGTAAGTATTGTACTTTTTATTGTGCTACTCCACTACATTCGTCTGACAGCTTTAGTTACTAGTTACTTTACAGAGTAAATTTTTTCTTCCACTTCCAGAAATCTGTGTATCTCCAAATTTGGTGGTTTTGAATGTTTGTGATAAACTGAAGGATCCTCCTCCTCCTCCTTCAGCTAGATAAACTATTTAAACCCCTACTTGGATCAGCTGGAAAATACATCATTAAAAAGCTGAAAACAGGGCTGTTTCTCTGAGCTAAAGTTGAGGACAGCAACGCTACAAACATGATGATCTTATAGACCATGATGCATTGCTGTAGATTAAACTACCCAACAGGATGTAAAGGAGTTAAAATGTAACATAAACATTAATGCTGCAGGAATATTAATCCAGAAAAATCAGATATAATAGTGAAACACTAACAGGGAACATTTTATTGAACTATGAGTACTTTTACTTTGATACTTCGTGATACTCAGTGTGGTATTGCCACTTTTACTTCAGGTAAGGATCTGAATACTTATTCCACCACTAAGATGTGTTCTTCTTCTGTGATTGCAGTTTCCTCTTGGTGCTCGACTACTTCAGCATCAACTTGGCAACCATCAACTCCTGCATCAATCCCATAATCCTTTACTTTGTCTCCAAGAAGTTCAAAAACTGCTTCAAGGTAAAAACAACAAATTGTTGTGCTTTGTGGACGAGAGTGTGTGTGTTTGTATGTTGATGATGAGTAAATGTCCAAACAGCTGTGGATCTCTGCTTCTTCCTGAATCAGTGTGACATCACGACGGGGTCACAGGGTCAGAGGGCGTGAGACATAGATATAAGAGAACGAGAAGAGGAGACACGCTCAGATGTTTTGGGGTTGCAGATATCTTGCGTATAGAGTGAGGAAATGTCTAAAGATAGAAAGGTCGTGACCTCTGATAAAAGGCTTGTGGGAAGTGACCAGTGACATGTCGTTCTACAGGGCAGTCCAGCGACTCTACACATGAGGGTCATTTTACTCGTCACGAGGAGTCTGGCTGCATTTGAAAACATTCCGGAGGCGCTTTCTAAAGTCTGAGAACATAACCCTTATTTCAGCTTTGGCTTGAAAACAGTGTATTTATAATCATAGACTGTATCAAAAATGGACTTAGTCACTATGACAGCCATTCATGTTTCTGAAGCGCAGTTGTGAAGCATAATGTGGGCGGCTTCACCGAGTTCAGGTGTCATGAAGGGAGAAATTACTTTTAGAGACCAAACTGTTTAATGTACCATGTTTCTGTTGTAAAGTCGGGCATTTTAACAGTTAACTATGTGGATATACCTTGCATTTACTTGCTTTTTGAGCCTCAAGCAGCCATTAGTTTTTTGGCCCTTTGTGTTGACTTCATTTTCAGCCTTGGTTACAAGGTAAAGACACAAAGCGAAGGCATTAACCCAATAGGGAGGGTCAAACGAAATAACACTATTGGTTGCATTATGGGAAATGTAGTTTCATATGTTTACGGTAACTGGACTGTTTTTACTGTATAAGGCGCTTTTCAAGTCTTCTGACCACTCAAATCACTTTCCACTACATGTCAAGTTCACTGATGACACAGTTATGGAGCTCAAATAATTATAGAGACAATCAGGTAATTTGGGTAATGCCTTTGTAGTTTACACTTTCTACCCTTCTTCTTTCAAATCTGTCTCCTGTGAGTCCCCTCAGCTACATGGTAAAACATTAAATTGCTGGAATAGCCCTTTAATCAAACTCACCCTCTGCCCCTTCCCTCTCTGTCTCCTCAGTCCTGCCTGTGTTGTTGGTGTTATTCTGGCTCTCTCTCCAACAGTATGCAGCCTCTCCACCATGGGACGAGTCTGCAGTACAAACACACTGACCACTGACAGAGAGAGAGAGAAAGTCTATATCTTGCAATCTGCACAACGACGACCAAACAACGGGCTGCTGAACAAGGACATCTAACACACACGCACACATGTCTGATGTTTGTACCTTTTTATGGTGTAGTTATTCAGTTATAAATATTGTATTTTATCACAGACTAATTATTGTATAGTGATTCTGCATTATGGCCAAAACATATTTCTTGTGGGTTTTTATTGTTTCAATTGGGCTTCTTAGTTCCAGTGAAGTGAAATCTTAGTGCTGCAGTTTTGGGGAAGATCTTTAGCTGTTTCAATGCTAGGTGCGCAAAGCCAGCTCCATAAAAAAAATGGTTCCCACTTTGTTTTTGAAAAAGCTCTGACCTCAACTACCAACCTTTTCACCCAGCACCAGTGCTAAATCTCACTATCACTCTTATTGCTGAATGGGAGAAAATCCCTGCACGAGGTTGAGACATCTGGTGGACAGAACCCAGAAAAGTGGAGGCTGTAATAGCAGCAGAATAATGAGACTGAGATGCTCAACAGTCACATATGGATGTAATGTGAGGGTGTCCACTTATCTTTGGCCATGCAGTGTATTTATTATTAAATTTTTTAAATGTCAGTTTTAAATGTCAAATATTCCATTGCAACAAGTCATTGTAAGAGTCTAAAACTGCAATAGCATCCCCTGGAGGTTGAATATTTCATTACACCCAAAGTTTCAAACTGTTGACAGACTATTAAATATACTGAGGGTGTTTTAGTTCTGCTAGGTGGCCCTAAAAGAATTGGCAGGGTGTAAACAAAATGGTTTATCATCTGGGCATCAAGAATATCACAGCAAGTTGGACGGAAATCGGGTCAGAAGTGTGTCAGAAAATCTTGTCAAAGTGGAAGGAACTATTAACAATCAGCTTTAGTTATCAGTGTGTTTAATAAAAAATTAAGTTGTATTTGTATTTATCAATAAAGCTATATTCTCAAAGCTCTGGCAATGATGCGTTTTTAATTTCTGCTTTGATTAATTTTCCAGCACACTGGAGCTCTTGTCACATAGTTAATGGTTTCTGGCTGAAGGTCGCTACACTGTAACAAGAGCCTTGAAGTGGTTCAATTAAAACCAAAACCACCTAATGAAGATAAGTCTGTTAATACCTCCAGTTGATATTGTTGATAATTAAAATATAATAATAATTGATAATTGTTTAGCATGTTCACCATCTCTGGTCACCTTAAAACTAACAACAGAGGCTCATGGGAATGTCATTTTGCAGATTTGTTTTAGACAAATAGTTTTTACCCGATTATGGAAAGTCAGAGGTTAAGTTATTATAGTTCATCCTGAGGGAAGCATGAATGTTTCACAACAATCCATCCAATATTGTTGAGAGATTTCTGTCTGGACCAAAGTAAAACATCCCTCTGCTAGCGAGGCTACAAAAGGCTGCATTATACTGTGGTAAATTTAAAACCCAAACAACCCGATGAAGATGAAGTCTGTTTATCGTTTCCAGTTAATGTGTCTCTTTTTGATTTAAAATGAAATGTAAAGTAGAGGTTAAAAAAAAGAAGGTAGGCCTACATTTTCACATTATTGGGGCATCGGTCAGAATGTGTGTAAGTAAGTCCAGTGAACAAAGATTTTTTTCTTCAAACTTAAAAGTTGCATTTATCAACATTTAATGAGGTGAGAAGAGAGACATAATCAATCTGAAAGAAAAACATAAGATTAGAAACTACACTCACATATCTATGTATATATTTCTGCTTTGACAGCAGAAAAATAAAAAAAACCTTATAGTGGCTGGTGCTGAAATAGATCTCAGTCATTACAGCAACAGTTACTCACATAATCACTTCCTTTTAAGTGATTGTGCCTCCAAAATAAAAGTGAAATAACTTTTTTTGCAGCAATGTTTCATGTTGAGTTTATTGAGAGCTTTTACTTTGAAGTGTTCTGAAGGACATTCAAAAGTTTCTGGTTTGCTTGACACACCTCAGAAAAAGCCGTCAGTAAACGTGTGATTGGATTCCAGTGAATTACCTCAGGGAAATGAAATAGTGTCATAGGTTTATGAATGGGATCAAACACTGGGAAGTGCACACACACTGCAGCACATAACCTACTTTATTGTGAGCATGTGCAAAAGTGTCCGTATAATCAATTTGTTTAACAAGGGAGAAAAAAAATCTGCCATATGTTTGGCATTGATCATACCACTCTCTCAACAGGACTCTCTACAAAAACTAAGCTAAACGTGACATTTAGGGATATGAAATAATTTGACTATGTTCGGGCCTGCCAACGGCTTTAAAAATTTATTTGCGGACCCCTGTCCTAAAGGGATTGTAGGACTAGGTAGGCCTAATAATGCAGATGTCACCTAAAGGCCCCTTTAAATGTGTGTTTTACAGTGTGTTTTTTGTGCTGCATTCAGTGTTACAGTAAATAAAGCTTTCTTGTTTTATTTGCCCACCAGTAGGCTATTTTGTTCCTGA